AGTCAGTCACCTGGTGCCTTCCGTCAGGAACGGCCCTGATAAGAACTATTTTGTCTTCATCGACAGATCATCAATGAAGAATACCGGATGGTGAAACAGGACCAGGACAAAAACAGCCGGGAATTGTCCGACTTCATCACATGTTTGAGGCACACCGCTCCAGGTAATATCGGCTCTAACCGAGCATATAGTAAATGTCCTGGCATTTCACATCAAACGCAAATTTTTTTTTAAAAAAAAGGAAAGAAAAAAAAAAGAAAGAAGAGAAAACTTGAATCTTTTTATAAAAACCTTTTTTTTATATTTGATTTTAAAAAATCTAGTTATAGCATGATTTATCCCAATTACTTTCTAATCTTTTATCCCATTTACTCTCTAATCGATTATCCCAAATACTCTATCGACGAGAAGAAGTTTTTGAACTGAACAGTTTAGATAAGAGGCTACTTTTAATGTTAGTATTGTTAAAAGATGGTAGGCGAAGTGATGTTAAGGTCGGGGGATGGGGGGGGAGGGGGGGGGGGGGGGAGATAACTGAGTTTGTTCCAATGCATGCAATGGTGAATGCATGTGAATAATGTGACACTCTGCTGCCCCGTGGTATTTCCAAATTTTCTCATTGCAACTTGCGTATCAACCCACCAGGTAACGTTGAAGATAGGATATCTTATCATGCATACGATTCGAAGGTATATATTAAAGGACTAATATAGACCTTCCCATTTGTTTTCAGGTTTAAGTAGCTATGGCCAGCCGGACACGAGGACTATGACAATCAGGCACTCCGCGGCCAATCGGAAGTCTGTGCATTGGGAAACGGACGGCTCCGTTGATAGGATGTACCTCCAGACAGCACGGAAATCACCATGTCTGAATGCCGTCAACAGATTTGGTGACGCGTCACCCCGATCACCTCCTAGCGACCACGTGACCGCGTACGTCATCAACCCAATCACCCAACCTCACCCACGCAGCGAACCTTCCGCGAGAAATTCGTTTTTCAACAAGCGGATCGCACTTGATTCTAGACGTCACAGTTTCATCGCGAATACAACGAGGAGCGCAAATGGTGTAACTGTGCCTGGAAATACGGGGTCCCCAATGACTGCCATACACAGCGGCTCACGGTCACTTAAGGGGGAGTTAACGACAAAAGTTCCAGTTCAGAGTTATCGCCGATCATCGCTTCCCAGATACGGCAGAGACGCTTACAGCGCGCAAGAACAAAAAGACAGGAATAACCTTCTCAAGAAGTTTGATAGTATATTTGAGAGCTACAGGTCAGATGTGCGGACTAAAACAGGTTCAGTAATGGCGTTCGAGCGTATCTTCTCGGCGCAACGTGATGAGAGCAAATGTGTCGAGAATGATCCCAAACCAAACACATCTGAAGTCGTGAACTTCTCTAGTAAATTCCACGAGACGAATTCGTCACTGCAGAATCGGCGAGTGGTGTGGAGCGCACCAGCGAAACACGGTGCTGACGCCATAAGTGCCGTGACATACGCAAACTCCGTCACAAACCAAGCTGAACACAAAAAACTTTCCCACGCTCCGGTTGGTGCTAGTGCAACATCCTCGCATGCAAGGAAACCAGGTCACAGACCCAGTTCCACGATGCCTAGCAAGTGTTTCCAAGACGACCAGAATTCAGACTTCAGATCGTTCACTCGTGGTTTTCCTTACACGAACAGGCCCAAGACAGCGCCGCCTAGCTATGAGCTTAAACAGAGAGGGGTTGCAGCGCCAAGACAACAGGTGGGTCACGGGCTGAACTTTCTTGATTTCTTTACGGATTGGGGAGGGGGGGTCACCTTCTTAAAATGAGATCAGTGGCGTAGCGAGGGTGTTTGGCGCCCGGGGACAAGATTCGCGCCCGGGGACAAGATCTATTTTAAAGCGCCCCCTTTTCTTTTTTTCAACTCTCAAACCCATTATTTTTACCAATAATATAATATCAAATCACATTTTGGCGCCCCTAACTAGCTTGCGCCCGGGGACATCTGTCCCCCCTGCCCACGATCAAGATCTCTTTTTTTTTTTTAAGGGAGGTAGGAAAGGGGGGGGTCTATATTGTTAATTGTCAACATTCTCTAACCTTATTTAACAGGGTTCATATTGTGGGAAATGTAAATCTGCCGCTTACTTATGTGATTAGGTAAACCCAAAGACATTCAATTTTCGCTCAGGCTTAGGGGCAAACTGTGAAGAGAGGCTTTTGATTTTCTATTTGCAGGTGGCTGGAATTTTAGCCGATATCCAGTCTAGGCGGGCAGACACCCGTGCCATCTTGTCCAAGAGCAGACAACTCCATCAAGCCGTCAGGACGCTGACGCCCCAACTCTCACGGGACGATGACAGTGACTAAATAGTTTGTTACACCAGTCTCGTACTCACAAGCACAGTGAAGTGCTGTGTTGGCTCTCTACACACCACACTCACACCAGTCTCGTGCACACAAGCACAGTGAAGTGGTGCGTTGGCGCTCTACACACCTCACCAGTCTCGTACACACAAGCACAGTGAAGTGCTGTGTTGGCTCTCTACACACCACACCAGTCTCGTACACACAAGCACAGTGAAGTGGTGTGTTGGCGCTCTACTCACCACACCAGTCTCGTACACACAGGCACATTGAAGTGGTGTGTTGGCTCTCTACTATAACACCACCACCCCCCAACCCCAAAGTTCTGGAATAATAGTTAATTCGTTTAAAGTTCAAGGCAAGTTATAAATCTCACGAGTACTTCCATTTCCACAAAACTGCTGTTGAGGTTAACACGTCAGTGTTTAACAAACTGTACAACACTGATACAGTTTTTTTTTTGTTTTTTTTACTTCATTGAAATTAAAAATTGCTGAACGATCGTGTGCTTTTGTTCCATTTTAATTAAAAAAAAACAAACTCTTAATAGATACTATGGATCAGTGACGTAGCTGGGGTTAGACTAGTCCCCACTCGGCGCGAGCCGAGAATTTTTGCCAAGACCCTTCAATGACAAAAAAACCCAAATTCGCAGTTGTCCGAAAATGCCGCTTCAACCCCAAGTAGACAGTACATATAATATTCAAAATAAACCTCTGATCGACGGTGCAGAAATATTATATCTACCCATCACACTAAAGTAAAATAACATTTTGAAAAAAAAAACAAAAAAAAACCTATTTTTAATTATGTATCGTTTATTTTGTGTAACATCATCAATACAAATGGAGGAAGAAGAAAATACTTTGATAAAATAAACATACTGTACATTAAATAATCAAAACATATGCTTTACATTTTTACCCCCTTGGCGATCATTTCACCCTTTCCAATCAATCTATCTACCCTTATCCAAATCTTATGTGAAGTGTCTAGGGGATATGTAAAGATCTGCTAAGATAGCGTTGTCCCATTCATGAGTCTCCATTGACGGATGGACTATGATTTTTTCAAGTAAGCTCCCTGCTTAAATTTTTAAGTGATATTAAATTGTTGTTTTATTTGCTTGTTTTCACTCATTTGTTCCCAATAGATGAAATTTACCATTTGAAAGATAAATGACTGTTAGGTCATACACAGGTAAAACTAGAAGGATTCATGGAATCCCCCCCCCCCCCCCCCCCCCCCCCACCAAAAAAATAT